GCACTTGAGGTCCTGTTCCCCCCAATAATGAACACGTATATAGTATTTTAAATACTGCTTAAATAATATTGTGTTGGGAGTTTAACACAAATTCCTGACTTTAAAGGAAATGTCGAAACCACTGCCACACTTCTTCATAAATAAATATCAACTAAAAGATTCCACACAGTATATACACATTTTAAATTACAAAAGCATTGCTGCATAATGATGGTTGTAACTTTTATCTGACGTGAATATCAGTAATGAATAAATGTGTGGTTTAGTGTTTTGCATTCGGTATCGATAAAATTAATGTTTCTGATTATTCAGGGTTTTTTTTTTTTTTTTAAATAAATGTGATCAAATGAAGAAACATCGTGATAATGTTGGTTCTGTAGGTTTGTAGCAAGGCCCAACTCAATCGATCACTGATGTGTAATCGGGGCTCTGCTAGTTTCCCTGACGTCGCTTCCAGGAAAATAAATCAAATTAGGAAGGATCACATCACAGGCGGAGGAGACGAGACACTTTCTAAAAGCAGACATGGTAACTATGAATGAAACTTCACAATCTACAATATGTCTATACAGTGAACAGACCGCGCTGCGTCCCCGTGTAGTATACTTTATAAGGAAACCTGAAACACTGTGTGCATTTACTCACACCGAGCTAACGTTAGCACTGTGAGTAAGCAAAACACCGTCACTGTCTGCTAGCCTTAGCTGCGTTAGCTCCGTTAGCTGGCTGAATGACGTGGTTCACCGCTGATACATTTCTGATGATATAAAACGAAGCGATGTGTGTAATTAACCTGGGTGACTTTCATTTAGCGCCTGATACCGTGATTATAATCGCTCTGCGGATCAGTCTGATGCCGGTTCGTTAGCTAGCAGGCTAACGCAGCGCAGCTAGCAGACGTTAGCCACCACAGTCTGAGTTAGCAGATAATTCAGGTTTCATGTCTTTTACTTTCGTTTTCGACAGAGCTCACCGGCCTTTGCTTCCAGGCTAATAAGTTCAGCCTATACAAACACACTCACTGTAATGATTCTGCCACCTGACGTACAGTCGGCATTGTAGTGTAAGATAGCTTTCCTCACTTATACTATTATCCGACACGAACATCTCTATTAGCATCAGGGGCTGGTGTGATGCTGGGACTCGGTTGCATGGCTCTCTTTGGTAAAGTGGCCGCACGCAAAGCTAGAATAATGAATGATTCAGCCGAGGCAGTAACTTGAGCCTGTAGCGTAGAAAGGTCCAGGCTGTTGGCTGCAGATGTAGTCTGTAACTGAGGGAAGCCGGTGACAATGCAAGACAACTATGTAAGCTCGGCTGCTGTTTTATTTAGCCATATCATAAATCCCAGTGTGTTTTTGAAGACGATTAACTTTCAGTGTGTTGTTTTTATCTTCAGTTTCGCAACCAGTACGACAACGATGTGACAGTATGGAGCCCACAGGTAGGTCGCAGTTTGCCTTTACCTCTGTCTCTCTCTGAACACACTGAGAAAGGAAACGTGTGGGACATAATGATTCCTGTTCCTGTTGATCCAGGGCCGTATTCATCAGATCGAGTATGCCATGGAGGCAGTGAAGCAGGGTTCTGCAACTGTAGGACTCAAATCCAGAACCAATGCAGTCCTGGTGGCACTGAAGGTACATTCGTGCATTATATTAATGAGGCTTGACGCAAAAACCGATACCAGTATCAGAGATGAAACAGCTACTGCCTGTGCCATCTGTGCATGATCCGATACCAAGTCATTCATTAGCCCCGACACTGGACCCTGCTCCTCCCCAGCAGCAGCTCCTTTGTTGTTTCTTTTCACTCATCACCATCCTCCATTTATATTTTAAACGCTACAAATTATATCCAGCTATTTTATTATTTTTGTTCAATTTATGACGTCATGTAACTATACATTAATGTTCACTGAAAATACTGTTTTATGTTCCTTACATTGGACTGGCTGTTCTGTATTTTCAATATAAAAAAAACACAGAAATATGTTATTTGTCAAGGGGTGCATAGACTTTCACATACAATTGTATAAATATTTTTTAACACTTGAATCAGAGAAGTTCAGGTATAGAAATTGATATCGGGAAGGAAAAATGTTAACGCAACATCTCCAATTATATTGAATGGTTTGAGAAGAAAAACCCTTCATCAGGTTTAAAGATCTGCTTCCTCCGGATGTCAAGTCAACACTTTTTTTTTTTTTCTGTTGGAAATCATGGAAGAAATTTAGAATCTTTGGCATTAAATGTTACATTAAATATATTATACATGTGTATATAACAAAGCATGTAGCAGATAAATAGTGACAGGTGAACACAAGTATTGAATCGAGTATAATTGCATGTTTTTTCGTGTTTCGGTAGAGAGCCCAATCTGAATTGGCTGCCCACCAGAAGAAGATCCTCCATGTCGACAACCACATCGGAATCTCCATTGCTGGACTGACAGCTGATGCCAGACTGCTCTGGTAGGTCACAGCTGCCTTGACGGTCTCAATAAAGGTTTTCAGTGAACCTGTGAATACCCAAATAGCCTGAGATTATACTAATACCCTCTCTCCCACAGTAACTTCATGCGTCAGGAGTGCTTGGACTCAAGATTTGTCTTTGACAGGCCCCTCCCCACGTCACGTCTCGTGTCTCTTATCGGCAGCAGTATCCTCACTACTGTCAGCTTGAAGCTCCTTAGTAACTATGCGATGCTTTTTATGTGTGTGTGTTTTATCAGCGGTCAATTGACCTGGTTTGTCAATAAATGTTTATTCTGTGAAGTAAAGTAATTGTGAATGGCCACATTGAGCCTTAACTGAACCTTCAGAAACCCAAATTCCGACACAGAGGTATGGAAGGAGGCCCTATGGTGTCGGACTTCTCATTGCTGGCTATGATGTAAGTTTGCCTACTCAAATATCTTAGTACTTTTTATTTATCTATAATATTTTTGCATACATTTTTAGTCGTTTGTGAAATAATAAATGTCATACAAATTTGCAATTTAAAAACTCACCATAGCTCTTGTTAATTTGTTGCCCAGGACATGGGACCTCACATCTTCCAGACCTGCCCGTCGGCCAACTACTTCGACTGTAAAGCCATGTCCATCGGAGCACGTTCTCAGTCTGCACGCACCTACCTGGAGAGATGTTTGGACAAGTTTGCCGACTGTAAGATGAAATTTCTTTCACTAACCTTGTTCCCTCAAATTTAGAACATGTTTCCACTAACCGCTTAGTGCTAACTGCTTATTTTCCAACTGAACATGAATGTTTTTGCATCTTTATTGGTCAGATTTTATTCAGTTTTTACTGTATTTTTCATTTCCTAATTAGTGTCATATGTGAGACAGTTATGGAAATCTTTAGATATTTATAGTCTTTAGATCTCATTAAGCAACTACACAGTCCACAGTAGGATGAAAAGTCACAGTACCAAACAGTGACCTCCACTGCTGCTTCACTGACCAGTGGAAATACTTGTATTAAGAACGTATTGTTTTGTTGTCAGGTAATTTGAATGATCTGGTCCAACATGGCCTCCGTGCTCTCAGAGAAACTCTCCCCAGCGAGCAGGACCTCACTACCAAGGTACACCAACTCTCTCCCCTCTTTTTCATTTATCTGTGTCTTAAAAGTTCACCCAATAGGTGAAATAGCAATTGTGTAATTTTTCGAGAATTTTTAATATTGATGCAAAGCCCAACCTTACTTGGCATTGAGGATGTCGCGATCTTCCTTTTGATATCCTTTTTAATATTTAATATATTTCTAATTCTTTCAGAATGTGTCCATTGGCATTGTGGGAAAAGACATGGAGTTCACCATTTATGACGATGATGATGTTGCCCCGTTCCTGGAGGGACTGGAGGAGAGGCCGCAGAGAAAGGTACTGCAAGGATTTATCAAATCCTTTTATTATTATTGTTGTTGATGATTGGTTTTAGTCCAAACTAGAACTCTGTATCTTCTGAACACTGTTGGTTAATTTGCATGTGGGCCAAGTTGGATAATTGGCTTCTTAGTAAGATGTATTTCCAGCTCTCACTTTAGTCATCCAGTACATTAACCAGTGGCATACTATTAAGATATACTCACATTTTGGGGTCAAGGGAAATATTTTAAGTGCGTGTGTGGAAAAACAAGATTTCAGTTTTGCTTAAAAGTGAAATTTATTGATGCACCTCAGATGTTCTGTATTTGATGTTTTTTATTGAATACTAATTTCAGTGATCAAACTCTGAAGTCTGTATACTAAATCACGCTTCTGTTGGTGTCTCAGGTTGCCCAGCCTGCAGATGAACCTGCTGCCGGACCAGGAACTGGTGAGCCAATGGAGCACTGAGGTGGTCGTGTCAGTTAACTTCCTGTTATGAAAGAGGACCGGCACAAACCCAGACCAACCTGATACTGCAACTCACCAGAGTAACTTGTGTAGGGGAAAGTTGTTGTGATGTGCCACTTGCAAAACTGTTAATCCAAAATATTCTATGCTAACATCAATCAATGATGTTGCTTTTGTATGAGTAAAGTACCATTATACAATAAACTCTTTTTTTGAATTGTGCTGCCATCCTTCATTACACTAGTTGCCTACGAATACACATTCAGCTGTCTTGAGCAACAATGCAGGCAACATAACGGTCCAAGAGTCAGAGCTGCTGCATTTTTACAAAATTGATGTGACAATTTAGAGTAAAATGAATCAAACTTGAGTAAGTTGAGAAGCCAGAAAAATGTATTTGTTTTAATAATACCCAGGTCTGAACAGTGAATAGCACAAGACAGCAGGTTGGTTACAAAGCCTAAAACATTACTGGTACAGAAGAAAGATTTCTCCATCACAAATGTGAGAAGACAGGTTAACTATTTATGTCTAACAGGACTTCTCCCCTTTAATTTAGTACAGTGCATTTATTGTATGTCTTCACACTGAGGGTGTTCAATGGATGTCAGGGTCCTCGTCTTTAAAAGAAAAACAAAAAAAACAATTGATCTCTGACAGACCACAAGCAGTTTTAATGTTTTGTGATTTCAACACACACAAAGGTGAGAAAAGGCACAAACACCCCAGTAAATTACAGTGTTGTAAGTAATGTGATAATTTAAACAGATCTTTCATCCATCAACTGCATGACTACTGCCCACGTCGTATTATTTACTTATTTCTGGTGTTTATGTTTTGAAGTGGCCAAATGCAGTTGTTCTTTAACTTATTCATATGAATTAAAACCACCTTTAATAAAACCATTAAAAAACTTAATGATTTTATAGGAACAGAGGCTGAGATAAAGGCCTTAACAGATTAAATATGTTGAATAATCAACATTCATCTGACAGAATTAAATACTGGGTTTGTTCACAGACAGGACGTCTAACTTTTGAATACATTTTTACATCAAATCTTGACCTAGAGTCCTGGAAGCATCTCCATGTTGGTTTAAATGAAATTGTTTAAAAAGTAATGAATTTATACATTAAGCAGACTGGTATAAATGTTGAAATATGTCTATAAAGTAAGTTTCAATAAGAGGAAAACCTCTTTCTTAATGCAGAATCTGTAGGCAAGGGGCAAGGCTGTGGTAGTGGAAGCATTCTGGTTTCCGTTCGTCTGAGTAGTATTGACCACTGACGTTTGAGCGGGATTTGGTTGCATACAGGTAAACAGTCCGTGTTCCGGAGAGCAAAAGAAGTGAAAAAAACATTGTTCGAAATGCAATCTCGGAACCCTTGAGCAATCGTCTGACAAAGCTTTAGATTTTTATTACCTTTTTTATTTATTTATCTGCATTCATACATAAATATATGTTCATAGAGCTTACATTTCTATCATACCAAATGGATATTGCTAATTGGACTGTAAACAATGACCGGTGCATAAAAAGTCTTGCCCCGGGTATCCATTATCGAGATATTCGCTAGAAGCTCCGAAACACTGGCCGTTGCCGTTGGCGATAGCCGATGGGTTCAGAGATTGGCCAAACGATCAAACTAATTAGTGATATAAAACTACAGCCTTAACACACATTTTCTCTCATATTCATTTCAAGTAAAGACAAAGAAGGCTGTTGACACGATTTCATGCATTCACCAACTTTCATCTGAACAGATTTCAAAAAGAAGCTGTCCTCACAAACAGCAGGCCCAGGCTTGAGTTTATGTGCAGGCATGGTGGAAGTCACTGTGAGGTTTTCTTTGCTCTCCTCCTCTTACTCCTTCGTCTGACCGCGCCGCAGGAAGTTTCTGTCTCCGCCGACCTGCTGAGGTCCTCCATCTTCTCCTGTTCCATCATGGACGTCATCTTCAGCGAGAGCTCCAGCTCCTTCAGGACTCCAGCCAGGTCCTCCTCTGGGACACCCAGATCGATTTGACCCCCTCCGTCTTTGTGTTGGCGTACGATCCCATTCACGCCTGAATCACTCTCTGGCCCCACGTCCTCTTCACCTACTGCTGTAACATCACATTCTCTCACAGCGTCTTCATTCAGAGCCTCCGTTTCCTCAGCCTCTGCTCCTCCTGTAACATCATCAGGGATGTTCTCCAGGTCAGCAGCATCAGTTTGTGTCCTCTCGGCCTCCGTCTGTGGACTGTGGTGCTGACAACAGCAGTGGGAAGGTTCCCAGTACTGCTGAGGCTCCTCAGGATAACCTGTGGGCACTATGAGGAAATGTAATGATTTGTTAATTGATTAACATTTCCATGACTGACTAATCTACCTGGGTGGACGTGTATGTAAAAATCAACCCTCAGGTTCAAACAGGGAATTTACAATTACAACTAATGAGCATAAATTAATCAATATTTACCCAGCTGTCTGCTAATACTGCACCTGGAGTCTTGATACTAGAATTTCCATCCCTGATCATGTTGCTCTTATTGTTTGTATAAAGTTACATTATTTTATTCCCTGCTGGTGCAGCTAAATGTTGAGATCTCTTTGGCATTGAATATGAAAAATCAAACCAAAAAGACAAAACATAGAGCGAACACAGGCGATCTGAAAAGCATAAGATGAGGGGAAATGCTGGCTGATTAGTTAGCAGGTGGAACATTATTCTAAAATGGAGATTTGTGCTATTGATTAAAATGTCTTGCATGATCCTCTGCAGGTTGGGAGAGTATATTAAAAATAGAATCCTAAAGTGTCATTTTTGCAGCGTGCAGAGTTCACGTACCTTCCCAGTCGTCCTCGGTCTTCTTCTCTGGAGCCATGTTGTCCACCAGCTGCCCTTCCTGCATCACCCGCGTTATCTCTGTCAGCTGCTGCAGGAGACTCTCCTCCTGATCCGCCGTCACCCCCTTCACCCTGCAACACAGACAGAAACCTAAACAATCCCGAACATCTTCCATTCCTAAACTTGGGAGCAGTTTCGTTTCTGGAATAACTAATGTTACGTACTTAAATGTACACATTTATCCCACATACTTCTTTACATTATGAATATACTGATCAGTTGATGGTGTGTTTAATTTCTGACTCTGCCTGAACAAACAAGATACCTAATTTTTAAATCTAAACTTTAGTACATTTTTGGCAGTTTGGGTCCTGATCAGTTTGAATTTTCTTTAGTTCCCACTACGTGATTTTGGTCCTGCTTTATGTTTTCTGTTTTTGATTTTAACCCTGTAGTCATGCAGTGTAAAAAACCACAAAAACCTCAAGACTCCCAATTACAAGAAAGATACTTGTGTAGTGTGAACAGATCTGACGACTTTGAAAGTCATGTAATTCGTCCAAGGCTTAATAAGATTTTTAGAGCACTGCCCAGTCATTGAAGATAACACATGGAAGTGTTACCCACAGAGTAATAAGAGATCATTAGGAGGAAAGGAAATGAGCTCTTTATAGGAGTGTCTTGTTTGTCTTTATCTTTCCTGTGGAAGAGATGCACGCATCTAATTAAATTAACAAATAAATAAATGAGCTCAATAAAAGAAGTGATTCCTGCCGGGACAAAGAGAGGGAGGAGGCTGACCGATGAGATGATAAAAGGCACACACCCACCTGTCAGGACTGTGGTGAGCGTTGGAAACAATATTCTCCATCACCAACTCTGTTTCCCTCAGTTTCTCCTGCAGCTGAGCCAACTCAAAGTCAGCTGGAGAGTGACAGAGGGGAAGAATAAATGAAAGAAAGAACTATCTGCACAAGTTTAAACACACTTTGAGATTACTGCACAGACATCTAGGTGGTAACAATCACTTGGAAAATGTATAGTTCTTGCTGTATGACACTTTATGTGAATCAATATGCCAGAAAATAACCAACATTCATTTAGTTCTTATTACGTTAATGCACTATAAAGATGCAGATTGACTTAAGAGACTGGATGTGACTTATGACACACACAGCTATAGAAAGGTTTTTATTGATTTAAACAAAATTGTCATTACTGGGTTTGATAGGTTACATGACCTCCTGCAAAGTAGCTTTTTACTCATGTGACTGACACCTTTTCCAATCATGCACTAACTGTGCATCTTTATGACATCAAAACTTGAAAACTATGCAGCTTCCCTGGCAAACATCATAACTCTCTGTACTTTAATGTTATGTGCTTTTGTCCTTTTGCAGTTAATTCTGATTTCAGGGGAATTTGAGCCACTATTATTTTCTTAACTGTTGTTTTAAAGCACTCATTGGATAATAAGAACTTAAATATTCATACTATTTATACCATCACATCTGTGCAGCAGAGTTTGTCCTCACAAAACAATATCACATGACATTTTTTGTGCAGCTACTTTTGTCCGAACGATTTTCCTTCCTTGTTTGCATTCAACTAAATAAACAAGAGTTAAAACCAAATTCAGAGGGCTACAGCAAAAAGTGCTTCTTTGTTTAGTTGTTAAATGTAAAAAAAAAAGCAGTAGAATTGATGCTGAATGATACTCACTGATCTTTCTCTTCATGTTCTCAGAACGAACCGAAGGAAACCTGCTCTCTGATGGCTTGCTGTTTCCTTTAGATGTGATCTAACATGGAGATGATAACAGCATTAAAAGACTCAAAACACATCAGTATGAACTCCACTATCACTGGTACACTGACTGCCAAACAGCATTATTGCTTTTTTAAAGTAAAATTTTGTTCTTTATGGTTTCGTTTTACGTTGATACTAGATTTTATTGTGATTAAGTGCCAGGGTATCCTTCAAAATGTGTCTGTACTAGTGCTAATGCAATCCCTGAGTTTTGATTCCGACACCAAAACTACTTCTTTTGGATCGCTTATATAAACATGACAAAACCCTTTTCTTACTTAACTTTAACTCGCCACTTTCTCAAATGTTATGTGTATTAACAGAAACCTAAGAAGTAGTCTGAAAATATTCTATTTAAAATCATTAAATAGCTGATCAAAGATTTAATCAAGGAGAAGAAGAGGTAAACAAGATTACAAATCTGACAATTCAATGTCAGTGTTCAGTGCTACAGACACATTTCAATCGGTATCAAAACAGTGTTGAAGTCGAATATGCAGCCAATTTAGGGAATAGTTAGACATTGTGGGAAATACACTTAGTTAGAGTTAGATAAACTGCATGCAGTAAATATGAATCAATCTACCACTAGCAACCGGTTAGCTTAGCTTAGCATAGCCCAAAAATCTGCCACCCTCTAATGCTCACTATGTAACATGTTATATCTAATTTGTTTAAGGTCTGCAAAAAACTAAACAAAAAGTGTAAAAATGACAAGTGGTGGTTTTACGAGGGGCTGTGTGCCCGACTAGTGTTGCTGTCACCATGAGGTTGCCAGGCAACCAGTGGAGACACCAGACATTTACCAACTATTTTACATTCAAAGGAACGGTTTTGTACGGTGAAATTAAAACTTTTAACAAAAGTTATTTTTAGACCAACTTTGTCTATACCGTGTATTATTCATAAGCTGTGTGTTGAGTCTTAAAGTTTCACCTTAAACAGTATGTAGAGGATGTAGAATAAGATCCCAAAGCCGTACACAGGGATGATCTGTCCTGCCAGGTTGGATTTGCCCCCGGTTCCTACCCCCGTTCCTGCTCCTTTGGCTCTGGCTACCTCGGGGTTGTTGGCTCTGGAGAAGCCGGAGCCTGCGGCCCTCTGGCCTCGACCCTCCGGGGCCGCCTGACGGTGCATCATCGGAGGGAGGCGACCTGAACCTGCAGGGAGGGGATGACATACGAAGAGGAGGAGGAGGAGGAGGAGAACATGGCTGATTCACTACATAAAGCAGCAGAGTGCAATAAATATCCAGGAAGTTATCATCATACTAAAATGACTGTTTATGGTTGAGTCCTGCAGTAAAAGGTGATTAATCTGGATGTGCTGAGTTGTTTAAAAGCCTCATGTCTGAATACAAGACAAGAAAAAAAAAAGGTTTATTGGTGCCAAATCATGAATAGCGAACACAGAGGCATCAAGACTATTTACTGTGTGTCATATCTGTGTGATATACAGGCTCACTTCCCCTTTTAAACAGGTAAAAACAAATGGACACCACATTGACTTAAGTAGGAACATCGTGTGCATACTTCCTCATATTTAAGCCTGCAGCTGCTATTGATCATGTGATGTGTTAAGACCAAAGCTGATGTTGGAAATATCCGGTTACTACGACTATAAGAGGAATGTCCTTTTCAAGTCAAGGACAACAAAAATACTGATAATGTTCATCTCGAACCTTCCCTCATACAATAATAAACTCAGATGGAACGATAAAGTTGTAAATAAACAAAAAACAAATATCTTTAAAGGAGAAAATATGTATCAAAAACAAATTTAAAAAAGGGGGAAAATTAAACCTCTTTCTATTTAAAAAATGAGTTAAAAAAAAGTAAATAAAGTTGTCACATTGTAAAAACTACTGAACATTTAATACATATGAATGCATTTTTGGAAACATAGCCTACACACAACTGGATATTCTTTTATGTTTGAATTCGTTGACGTACTTTGACATAGTCTTTTCTGTTAGCCTATATTCAGCACTATATTTATTATTATATTATATAAAGATAGACTGCGTTAGTTTTACCTGGGTGTCCCTAACAAACTGTGTGTCCATACATACAGTCCTGGCTGTATCTCTAATGAACCAAACAGGTGTGTTTGGCGCCTCTTCAGGGAGGAAAATGTAACTGCACGGACGATGATGCAGTAGTGATGTACAGCGCACACTGCGGCCTGAAAACACCAAAATACTCACAGTACCGAAGCCGTAGAGGCTCATAAATGTGAATCTTGAATCATCGATGTGAAAGGCCGATCGATGATCTATATCTGTGACTGATATTGACTCATACAGAGGAAGAGTGAAAGGTGACGCACCCTCCGGCCGCTCAGCAGCATCCTTCCTCCCGCGTGACAGCAGCATTTTGGGAAGCAGCAGAGCGACGCACAGCACGAGACACGTCGCGAGAGTCACCTTCTGAAATGTCGACATCGCCATCCCGACAGGTGATGTCCAACAACGGCGATATCTCACGGGTTTACGACGAGGGGAGCAGAGGAGGCGAGAGCTGGTTAATGTCGTTTCTCCTCCATCGGTTGAATTTCCTTGTTGACTGGAGAAGCGGAAGTGCGCCGGAGTTGTAACACACGCGTTTCACCGCTGGGAGGCGCCAAAAGACTGCCTTCATGTTTTTAATGGCGCTGTAGTAGGCTGTGGATTTCTTTATAAATATGTCGTTATGTAGGAATAGGGAATATTGTCAAATAAACAATTTATTCCTCATAGGTGAAGGTCAATGAGGAGAATGTCGTCAAATGTTTTTCCTGTTAAAGCTTGAAAGTACCAAAAAAGTACAAACAACTTTATTTTCATTTAAAAAACATAATTCATAAGGTTATGGTTAGTGTTAATTGTATGCAGTTTCTTTGTTTGTCTGCTCTGCACAGCCATCCCAAAAATATATTGACTGGAATGGTAAACAATATATAAATTAGAAAATTGTCACTAATTGTTTGTCAATATATATCCATGTTCCACTCGTTATTTCAGAAGGCAGAATGAGTTTGCATGTAACTTACAGTATGTGAATAGTGTTTACAATACAATCTACACACTTAATGTATAGCCCTAGATGTATGGATTGCTATCCACCCCAATAATGTGAACAAAAGAAAACCTGCACATCCACTATGTATGATGTAAATAATCCCTGAGCTCTATAATGGTTCACAGTTCTAATACTTTTTTTATTTTTTACAAATTTTCTCACATTAGATCCTCATACTGAATCAATCCTGCACAGGGATGATAAATCCCTCAAATTATTATATTGGCAGATTCTGAAAGGAGAAGATGATGAACTTTTGTTGGTGTTTGATATATCAATTATAAATTAATTATATATATAAAATGTCTGGAGGGGATCTTTAAATGATTTCCTCTCTCTGGTGTCATGCCTGCTCACACTGATGTCAGTACATAAATAATGAGCACACAAACTGAAATTAAAATTCAGTTTAATTAGTCAAGACAAAACAGCTTGAGATCAAAAACAAAACTATGGTTTGAAGTGCCACTCAGTTCCGTCGAGTGTTCAGAGTGGAGAGGCAGAGAGATGAAGGAAAAACAGTTCATCCTCCTCAGTTGTTGAACGGTATTTAGAAAAATGTATCAGTTGGTTTCGGGGCTTCTTGCATGCCAGATGGGCGGGGTTTACCGCAGACGACGGTGACTGCCAGGAACAATTTGATAATCAGAAGTTTAAAAAGACAACTTAGTATTTTTCTCTGTGATGGGTGACTTGGTTGATGCTATGTGTGGCCTGAATGGCTTCACTCCATCCATCTAGTATTTTAAGTTTGGTGAAACAGACTCTTCGATGATTTGTTGAATGTAAAAAGGGGGCAGAACCATCACAGTCCACATTAAGTTGTCTGGAGTCTCCTGATGGTTTTACTGTTCCATTTTTACTTCCAGGTTTCTCTCTGGTCCATCTGATCAGAAATGTCCGTTTTCAGGAGCTCTATAATAAAGAGTTCAATCGATGGCTGCTGGAAACGTGTCCCATCAGTGTTGTTTCCGCACATGGTTCCGTCTGAAATGGGAGGCTGATGAGCTGACTGTGCTGTTGTGAGTTTCATGGTCCAGCTGGCTCACAGTTGTCCTGTTCTGATCTGCAGAGAGAGAGAGAACATATAAAACAGCTCTTGGTCAATCTGTGGGGTTTTAGAGGTTCAATAAAAACACATGATCAGCTCTATGTGTCCTCTAATTGCGGTAAGTTAGACAGAAAAGTTATTTGTCTTATAATAAATTGTGGTATACAGTATGAATAAACGGTTGTGTGGTTTGCTACAAAAGTGCTTTTTAATTTATATTTTTCTCTTTTGGAAAAACAATTTTTATTACATTTCGAAGTTGGATAAGTTATAACTTTAATGGTAACCTGTGACTAACTGTATGTGAAAGTCTATAGCATTGTTTTTATAGTATGGAAAGTCTCTGTTCAGTGTTCTATTTGTATGTACAGAAGTATAGCTTTTAAATATAATGAACTACTTCCATCAAGCTAGATTAATTAATTTCCCTCGGAAATCCCTTTATATGCCTCTTGTGACTGTTTTTATTAATCCTATTTAGTTGTTTGAATGTCTGGCTTTCGACGTGTTGTTCTTGTTTGCTGGTGACTGTTTATTGTCTCTCTTGAAAAAGAGATCTTCATTGTAATGAGACTACCTGAATAAATCAAGGTATTCGAAAGAAAGCCTTGACTTGCCCCAGAAAGATGTAAATGATGTGCAACAATGCAAACGCTGTGTACATTATTTATGAAATATCAATATAATCACAATATGCTTGTGGTAATTCTAATTCTCTCTAATTTATAAATGAGGAAACTAACATATAACTGTCTCTCACTACGTTTCAACTTCCCTACCATGTCTGGTTCCTATACTGAAGACAAACATCTTAAAGAAAACATGCCACATACATAGCTTCATGTTCAGAAAAAGCTCAGTCATGTCTTAAAACAGTCACTGTAGTTTTTTGGCATAGTTCATCAAACAGGTGAAAATAGTGCATTTGTTGGGGACTATTTAAAGCAGCAGATTAAGCCACACTTTGTGCTCTGGTGAGTATTTCCAGCAGTAGGTCAGTGCATGTGGGATTGAGTCAAAATAAACTACAGTGTGTGTTTACTGTAATGAAGGAACAATAGAGCTCTATGTGGCTCAGAAGCATACGATGTAGCAGGAGGTAGAAAGTTTGTCAGTTCAATCCCCGGCTCGTGCTCTCTACATGTTGAAGTTTCCTTGATTAAGACAATGAACCCCAAGTTGTACCCGATGGACAGACCAGCGCCTGTGTGTGTGTGTGTGTGTGTATGTGTATGTGGGTGAATGAGAGGCAAAACTGTAAAGCAATTGGTGCAGAAAAGGGCTATATCAATGCGGTCCATTTACCATGTAGAGTATCAGGCTCTGGATACAAAGACAATAGTTGTAAGATCCATTCATAGGTTTTGTTTTTATTACAGGATTTGTTGGCAATACGATTTTTTAATAAGCTTAAATGCAGCAAATATCTATCAGTAGGAAGTTATTTCCACAGAAGCAAAACGTCACTTATGTATTTATTTCTCTCAATTTTATTTTACAGATATTATATTCAAATACAGAAACTGATTTTTGCTTTGTTTTTTCATTTATATAACTTTTTATCTATCTTCAGCCCAGTGACATTCAGATAAATTATTATATAATTCAAAATGGCCGAGAGCCAAGAAAAATAAACATTTAAAAAGCAGTGGTCCAGTGGTCACATTTAAAAGCCTTTGAGAAAAGTTTAAATAAATCTACAAAACAATCCAACATCAACAGAGCTGTTTGGGTCTTTAGAGAAAAGTAGGAAAAGTTACAGCATCTGGAAGCCAGAAAACCTTCACTGTAGCTATTTTATCACAATTACAGTGTTGGAGCCACATTTTTAAAGTAGACTCCCATCTTAACACACTCCAAACAAAATATAAAGTGAATGACAAACATCTGTCCACACATGTATTCAAGATCCCTCGTTTCTCACCTCAGTTAACAATGAAGTTGACTAAAACCTCCAGAGTTGGTCAAGTCCTCAAATGAATTAAGATTTAAAAGGAAAATTAGCTCTCAGTGGTTTCAGTATGAACTCTGGAAGACCTAAAACCAACCAAAAGTAAAAACTCTCCACTTTCAGAGTGTCCAGTGCGGCGTTATGAACTGCAGTTGTAGAGTTAGTATCATAATCATAGGCTGGGCTGCTGGTGGCTTTAGGGTATGTTTTTGAACCAAGGCAGACCCTGAAACCCTCATAATTGTGGATTTTGTGGTATTTGCTGCACTTGCTTTCAAACTTCTCCCATCTGCCCTAACAGCCAACCACTGCTCACGCCCATCAAGAGGCTCAATAAAGGAAGAGCTCTGCTCCCACACGATTTATTTCTCTGCTGTTTAAAGCTTTACAGAAGGCTTTTAGATGTGTTTAAACCTGCAGGAAACTTAGTGGCTTCCGGTGGCAATGAGAGGTATTGTAGGCAATGTGATTTCAGTATGATGCTTTAAGGAACGGCACAGAGAAGAGAGACAAAAAACAAATATATAATATTGATAAGTCCTGTTTTCTCTGTTTATAAGACAATGGATTTTGACATTTAAAGCTGAAAACATTTAATAATGTTAAAACTACAGCAGCAATGATGGAGCGGTTGCATATTTCTGAAGTTACGTCACCTCATTGTTGGAATTCAGTGAAAATACCATCTACCAGCCAGTTAGTGAAAACATTTGTGGATGATTTTTTACTGATAAAATGGTGAACTGAAAACATACCATTTCTCAACAGCAGAACGACTCTTTTATTAAACACAATAATAATAGTAATATATTCATTAAAGACATTATGGAGTACAGTTTTTATCCAGCCCTTCCTGTCATTCTACGTTAAGAATTTGAGCAAACAGGACACATTGTACAGCGGGATGATTCAGAATGATGGTGTGTTTAAAGCTATATGTGATGACTTTTTCAAAGTAAAATATATCTTTTTCTAGCAGTGGAAATGTCAGGATTAAACATTTTGCTTAATTTAAGACGCCTGAGAATTGCAAGTGTACTGGTACACAACATATCGTATGCTTTTTGTTTGTAGATTGATCAGTCAGTGTGATCTACAAGCACCATGTGGTGAAGACTTTTGTCAGTGTATCCAGAAGGTTGCTTCTATTTACACATCCACTCAACAGGGAGCAACATCATCCTTCACCAATGTGTCTCTGTTTACTTTTAGCTGGTTTTGGTCTCCACCAACTCCTGAATGCTCCACTATGTTCACCAGCTAGTCGCTAACTTTGTCTACTGGTTGGTTCTCACCTGGTAGTGTATACTGGGTTTCAAAATCAAAACAATGAGCTAAAAGAGACTGAAACGCTCTGTAGAGGGCCACAACTGGGTTTCCCCTTCCACATAGCAATTTGATTAAGTGTTCATATTTGATCAGATATTCAACAAAAGACGAGAGAGAGAGTTATTAGTATCAGTTTAAACTGTAGGCTCTCGGCCTGCTTTATATGTGCATACGATTTTTAAATATATCATACCTGATGTGATACACAACATGGTTTTAATTATCAGACATCAATCCATTTTGCGTAAACTGCCCTCAAAACTGAACATATGCATCCATGCTAAATGTCACATAATGCAGCCATTTTCAAAAATAATGATGCTACAACATATCTTCAAGATCTTCTTGCTAATGTCAGCGGCCTCTGGTTTGAAGTCTCATGTCTACATATGGTCATATTTGGGATGAGCTTCTGAACTCACTTGTATACCTTCCAGATATCTCAGCGCATGGTTTAGTTCAAACTGTCAGAGCAGCTGTCTGGGACTGTAATTCATCGTCATCACAATATTACCTCTTATTGAGGCTGCCTCTCGGTGCTGCCATTAAGATGGCCTCCTTCATAGTCCAGCTGGCACAGGATCATGTTGTTCTTGAGGAAAAACTTGTCTCCCACGCAAAATCTGCAGAGAGAAATAAAAATATGGAACTGGGTCTTAGTTTTTGCCGGAGCTGAAGTGAATCATGAGGTCCCAGAGGAGCATTTCAGGCTTGTTTTCAACATACATCCACTGCTATGATAATCAGAAAATTAAACTTGCATGATTGCTGGCTGATTAACTATCCAAGTGATATACTAAGTCTTTAACCCCTTGAGGTTTTAAACTGTGCACTAAATTTTGTCACATTCTGATTACAATGTCTTGGTAATATGCACATAACGACCAGTGAGCTCACGGGTACACCTCCCAGATAAGTCAACTGAATTTGATCTCCCTGGCTAATTGCTCCCCTAATCTTACCTCTGGCGGCAGAGCTGACAGGCGAAGCAGTCTAAATGGTAGACGTTGTCTCTGGCTCTCATCACCATCTCAAAGGCAGGGATCAGCTTACTGCAGGCTGCACAGTTCCCCGTCACCCCAAAGAGTCTGCAGAGGGAAAGAGGGCGACAAGCAGACCTTTAGTCTGGACGCACTTAGATACATTTCAGCCAAGAACTGAAGAGGGAAAAAAAGACTGAAATAAAGGGCGGACAAGCCTTAAAAGTAGTTCAACAGGACCCTGAGTCAGAGTCACAGATGTTGTTGATGCACTTTTTTGCAAATAATCACTGGTTTTAAAGTGGTAAACTGCATTTCCTATAGATTATTACTGACTTATTGCTGCTTCTACTAATGCAGCGCATACATCATGCCTTATGGATTTTAATTACGAGCAGCCAAGTAGGAAAAACATTCACATCAGCCTCCCAGTTGTAGGATATGAGACATTTCTAACCCCTACATGGCAAAAAAACAAGACAAAGCCACCGCTGCAGTTAAATGTAAGTTCAGTCCAATATTAACACAGTCTACAGCCAGGGCGCCCTAGTAGCTTACCTGGAAGAGCGTGTCCCCCATGAGTCCTTACAGCAGCGCCTGGGTTCAATTCCAGCCTGTGGCCCTTAGCTGCATGTTGTCCCCTCTCTCTCT